ATGAAATTGTCTCTCAATTCTAGAATTCTTCATAATAAATATCCTAACATCTTAATTCTTAAAAAAATATTACTTTGTAGGCCTTCGGTGATTGTTTACATGCATAGTTATTGGTCTATTAACAGTTTGAAAATGTTTTCAATTATCACGAATATTATTTAAATTAGATTTATCAATAATTAAATTATTATTAATTTAAAATTTATTCCAAAATTTATAAATATAAACTTTAAAATAAAAAAGATAAATAAATATATTTAATAAGTGTTAATTATTTAAATGACTTAATCTTTACTTTAACAATAAAATATCTTTTATAAATAACTTTTTCTAATTTAACTAGATATTTAAACCACGAAAATAAAAATTTTGACTTTTAACACATACAGTAAATAATTAATTTTAAGAAAATATTTTCTTTGACGTAGTTAAATTTTTTACATTTATTTAATATATATTTTTTACCTATATAATTATTTTACCTTTATACATATAAAGTGTGTCATGTACGATGACTCTTGGCCATGTTCTTTTGAGTGGATTTGAGAGGATGGATTTGAGGGGATTTGAGAGGATTTGAAGATAATTTTTTTTGTCGTTTATTTGAGTGAATTTGGAGGTAAATGAGAGTGAATTTGAAAATAAATTTTGTGAGAATTAGTATAGAATTGTATTGACATGACAAATTAAAAAAAATTATTTCCAAATTCACTCTCATTTACCTTCAAATTCACTCAAATAAACGACAAAAAAAATTATCTTCAAATCCTCTCAAATCCCCTCAAATCCATCCTCTCAAATCCACTCAAAAGAACAGGGCCTTAATTTTAACTCTAACCGAAAAATTTACCAATCCAGTGTCATAAAACATAATAATTGTTACTTTTCGCCCTTTTACATATATCAAGGTGCTAAATTTGTAACAACTGAGGTTTTAAATTTGATTTACCAATACATATTTATAATATTTCAATTTGTTTTTTTATGCTAGAAACTCATAAGAAATATATATTTAAAAAATGAAGAAACATAAGTATTATCACATTGGAGAACATGTTTGAGAATTTGGCCAAGGTATCATGCATCATCTATCACATTGGAGCCATGGTATCATGATGATAAGAGGAACCAACATAATTGCTTTTAGAGAAAACGAACTAATATCTCTTATTTAAAAAAAAATATTAAAAAGACAACGTAGTTAACAATATTAAAAAACAATTACCATGACAATAGTAACATGGGTTAATCAAATATACAATTTTAGTTACATGGTTAATCAATCTTAATCTTTCATGTCATTGAAAATTAAATTTGCTGGTAATTAGTTTTAAGAGTTTATTCACGTTTTCAAGTAACTAAAAATCATGATAAGTTGTCTTCCAACAATAATTATTACACAAGTCAATTAATTATATAATACTTTGAAATTAGATGAATTTCTTTTATTTAAACTACTAGTAAACGCGCCATTTAATTTTAGTTTAAAAGTCATATATAAAGCGTTACTTGATCAATGTAACTCTTTATACTAACATTGCATTAATAAGTAAGTTTAATAAGTATATAGTTCAACAGAAAAATTCCCTTCATGAATCTCCGCAATTTCTTCGCACACCCCCTCACACATTCGAAATGTCCTTTTGCCTTCTCAGAAGTTATTTCCGAATTATATATTTGGAAAGTTTTTCGGAACAAACTTTTCGAAATTTCCGAAATAATTTTTTCAAATAAAAATTTCAAAACATGATTTTTAGAATAGAATTTGGTAAACATATGAAATATGTCAAAACCTGAAAATGATATGTGGAAAAATGACATGTGGAAGGGAGAAGGCAAGTGTATGTTTCTCGAGTGGACAAGTGGCTTCGGTGGTAGTATTTAAATTAAATTTTTAAAACCTCTTGCCATTTTCTGACACCACTCTTTCCATCTAAAACTTCTTCTCTTTTCTTTTCTCCCCCTTCTCTCTAAAATCTTTTTTCTTCTCTCTAAAAATCTCTCATTTCACTTCATCTGGTTTACAATTAAATTGTACGAAAGCTATCCGAGTGTCAAGAACTTCAATTTTCACCGATCAATGTTTCCTTTAGAACGGGTAAGTCTCATTCTTTGGGGTTCTTGTAGGATTTTGAAACTTTCTGACACATGCAAGCCACATTTCTGGTTGCATGTGTTCATCAACTTCTTATTTCTAATCACTTTTCTGGTATTTTGGGTTGGTCTGTTACCGCAAATTTTTGGACTAGGTTCCTGAGGTCTTCTGGTATTAGGAGTAAATTTCTAAAGAGGTAGAGCTGTTCGGTTCAGTCTAATAGGTAAGGGAAGCTAGATAATTTAATTACTTGGTTTTGATATATGAAGATGTTGTTTGATAAATATGCATGTGTATGAAATTGATTGGTATAAAGTTGTATGAATGTAAAATTGGATGAATTGGGTGTTCGGTACTGTTGGTATGGATTAATTGATGTTGTGTTTATGATGATTGTATATCTGAATGATTATGGAGCAGTGGTCGAGTGAAATTGGTGGGGTTTGGTGTCGATCTTAATTCTGTAGTTATTCTGCAGAATTAGGTAGTTTGTTGAAGGTCTTTAATTGACCGTTCAGTTTCTCTCTAGTGCTAGGTCTTAACTGAATTCTGCTATTGTGGATTCTTAGTTAATGACCGTTCGGTTTAGTGTGATTTTCAATTTATTGCAGCATTCGGTCTAAACATAGCTTTTGTTTGTAAACGACGTTCGGTCTATCATAGACTATAACTGTTATTGACCACTCGGTCTTGAACTGTTTTGGTAGTGCTCGGTTAGATGCTAGCACTCAGTCTCAGTAGTGCTTGGTGATGCACTAAGCACTCGGTATATTCATATTACCAAATTATGTAATTGAAATTGAAACTAATATTGTTCGGTCTAAGCTCGTAGTATTCGGTCTAAGCTCTTAGATTTTGATTATAAGCTTTAATATTTGTTTATGTCCAATTATAGATGTTCTATAGTATTCATTCAATTCTTTGGATTTTGTCTAGTAAATAAAGTTAGGTTATAGTCTTTGAATCATGAGAAAATGTTCTCTCACAATAAGTATTAGGTTCAACTAAAGTTTTTAGCCTGGTTATAACGTTCGGCATAAGCCCTCAGTGTTCGGCCTAAGCCTATAGTGATTAGTCTAAAATAATAGTGTTTGGTATGATCTACTAGTGGTCGGCATTAATAAATAAGTGTTCGGTCTAATTCAATAGTACTCAGATCAAACTAATAGCGTTCAGCTCATGCGAGAGTTTCACTCTTTACATGACCGTTCGGTCATGTTCACCATAAGGAAACAATATCTCATTCAGTCAGGTTTTGTTTATAATAATTGTTGATATTTTCCAAGTCAGTTATGCTCCATGGTGATGTTGTTTTAATGTTCGGTTTGAAGTTATTTAAAGATGTGATGGATGAGGAGTGATCATAATTCTACTCTAATGTGAAAGTGTGATGGTATTAAGTTATGATATGATAATTGTGATGGGATGAGAAAGTATGATGTGAAAATTATATTATGGATCTAAAAGAGAATTCTAAGGAGGAATGTCTTAGTGATTGGTTGTATTGTGGTAAAAGTATGAATAGGGAAAGCTTAGTATTGGCGTTCATCCTGAAATTCTAATGGTCACTAAGTCTCAAGTAGAGAATGGTGATGCATGTGGTGAGAATAGCAGGAGACCCTAGCCTGGGCGGTATGTATTACCTTGAACTAAGGTGAGGTATAACGGGTTAACCTCGTGTGGCAAGCTCAAGGATTTTTCCATGTTGCAGTAATACTGATGGTTTTCCAGGTTACCACCCACGAGTGCACGAACGGCCATAACTCATATTCATACTAGTCCGGACAATCAGTGTAAAGTGGTCGATTTTATGATTTTTGTATATGAATAATTGTATTATGTGGGTATCTGAATTGTATGTTAACATAGTCAATTAAATTACACTAGTTTACCCTTATTTTCCTGTCTTGTCATGTATTCTCGTTCGGTCGTCCTTGTTATTGCAATGATTACCCTGTGGATGTGAGCAAAAAGTGCAGAAGCTTATCTGGAACATGCGCTGGCAGAAGAGGTTGGTCTCCACTAAGAGTAAGACCGTTCGGTCTTGACTTTGTTTTGGTATTTAGTATAGGACCGTTCGGTTAATACACTTCTTGTATGACCGATCTGTTTGCCCTTTTGGGTTGTATCAGTATAGGTTTTTTTAAAATTTTAATTTATGCTTATTTTAAGATAATTGTAAGTTAAAATTTTATTTTCCTATAACTGTTTTTTTTTATTATAAATGTCAAGACCCCTAAGTATAGTTTATAGCTATATTTTTGGGATGTTACAAAATATGTTCCAAAATAATTTTTTCAGAAAAAACTTTTAAAACTCAAGATATCTTTCGGAATGATTTTTTTTTTTTAGAATATTCTATATTTCAGAAAGAGTTTTCTAAAACATGAACTTTTTAATACTATGGGCAGTTAGAATTGTAGGGGTGTAGGAAGAAATATCCAAGATAATTTTTACGAGAATCAACAAATTTACCATATACACAATTTGCAATTAGAAACCGTGTAAAATTAAGGTTTTGTTCACTTGAATGGATTTGGAGGAAAGTGATTGAATGGATTTGAGAGGATTTGAAGGTAAATTTTTTGTTGTTTATTTGAGTGGATTTGAAAGTAAGAGTGGATTTGAAAGTAAAGTTTATGAGAATTAGTGTAATATTTGATTGATGTGACAGAATAAAAAAATTTATTTCCAAATCCACTCAAATAAACACAAAAAAATTTACCTTCAAATCCTCTCAAATTCATTCAATCACTCTCCTTCAAATACATTCAAATGAACAAAGTGTAAATGTCATTGAAAAGTTAAAATAAAGTATGAAAAAATTGTAATCAAATAAAGTATGAAATAATTGGCATCAATTATGAACTCTAAAGAAAGTTAAATTTATTTTTTGGGTACATACAAAAAGCACCACATTTTATAAGAATAATGGGCATGTACATGTATCTGTTCACAAATAATTATGATTACATAAGAATGAGTACTATGAATGAAAACATTTTTCAGGGCTCAAACGATGGAGTTGGATCAGTTTCAGGAGGATAAAATATCTGATACATCTTTCTGTCGATGATATTCCTGTATGGATCCTCCTCCCTCTTCTTGATCAAGTAATTCAAATTGTTTTCAACTTCTGACTTAATCTGCAGGTACATTTGATTGGCACTTTCTCTGTCTTTTAGCATATTTTCCATGCCTTTTGTTCTTATGGGCTTCCCAAACAGAAAGTAAAAGCGACCTGGTATTTTGGGTACAAGTACAGGTAAAGAGAGATTTTGGTTTGCTACTTCACCACTTCTGTCATCTCTGGATAGCAACAAACACACCAGTGCCTTAGTTGTGAAAGAAAAATCCATAGTTTTGATCTATAAGCTATCAGATATATTAAATCATGGTTCTCTCTATCACTTTTATTAATTGAAATTTGTTAAAAATGGAATGTTTTAGTGAAATTCACTTCTTACTTAAAAAATATTCCACCTAATTTTATAATTTCTTAACCAATAAGAAAGTGTGCAAGAATGGAAAGTGGGTCTGAGAAATGTCAAGAACATTTCTTCATTCCCTTGAACACATTATTTGTCTCTTGTACTGGTTGAAATATAAAATCATAAAAATTTGTGGGTACCAAGTGTTATTTAGTAAACTTGTCATGGTTCTATACATTTCAACAAATTGACTATAAGGTGGGAATGTAGTAGAAATGGTGTTGTTAGCTCTAGTTATAAGGCTATATCTTATAGGCAATAAACATGATTGAGATTTATTGAGATGGAGAATAGTTACCTAAACTTAACTTGGTCACGATTCATATCTCTTATGCGATCGTTGACTATGGGGATCTTCATTAAGTCGTTGTAGTCAAGAACCATCTGCATAATTCAAGCAAAAAAGTCCAACCAAAAAGCAAGTACAATTAATAAAAACTCAAAAATTGCAAGGAAAAGAAGCTATTTTCTTTTCATTCCTCTCTGAACGTTCATTGAGACATTTAGAAATGAATATTCCTAACAAGTTTAGAAAAAGAAAAGGAAAAGTACCTTTGTAGTCCCTGTAAGTTTTGCTAAACTTGCAATCAGTTATTCTGCTTTCAAATTGATGAATTAGTCATCCTACTTTTGAAAATATGTGATTTTAGTCCTTCATTATACTTAAACTTATCATTTACTGATATATTTTACTGCACAATGTTGGGGGAAGGGCCTAATTCACATATTTTTCAAAATTTAAGGACTAATTTTTCAATTTGAAATACAAGAATCAAAACCAAGTTTGATGTTAAGGGACTAGAAATATATTTTTTTCCAAAAGAAAAGGCAGAAAAGTTTGTGTCCTCAAAAGTGTATGTCATCTGGTAGAAAAAGAAGAAACCTACTTCAACTATATCATCTTCTCCCACAGCTCCAAATGGCACAATTGTGGCACCAAATCTTGCGGCCATTCTCACAAATTCCGGATGATCAGGCCAAATCAACTTGTATTCTTCCCCCTAGCAATTGCAGAGTTCAGTCAGTTTTAAAGTAGAAGCCACCATCGCATAATAGTAAATGCTTATCCCAAAGATTGCACATGGAAACATATAGTGCACGTTGTATTAATGTGACTGCATAAAGTAACTGGATCATAGATACTACATAATTGGATAAGAAGCATAGATAAAGCAATAAAACTTATGTACCTTATAATGGAGAGCCTCTCGAGCACCACCAGGATATAGAAGAACATGTGACTTTGTTGAAAATAATTTGAAAAGGTTGCTTGCTGAAACAGGCACCCCACCAAATATCTTCACCCAATCAAACATAGAAAACTCAGATGAAAAACTCTCCACTTTAGGCATGAACAGCTCCGGATGGGCTACTCCGCGAAGGGCAATACCTTTCTCACTCAAAAATTCATCTATAAGTGAGATAAGCTCAAACCCCAACAACATATGATAACCGACATATATGACAGGACCTTCTTCTGGAACACCAGAGAGACCTTTTACGATCTTTCCATCCTCCAATGTAGAGAAAAATACAGATCCGGTAATGGAACGAAATGACCTACCATCCACATTAGTAGCATATCAGATTTAAACCAACTAGTCCCATTTGTTTGGGAACGGGTGCTAAGTAAACTATCAAAGAAGATAATTGATGTAAGACTGACATAAATTGCAGGCTTGAACCTAAGAGAATAAGGACTTAAGTCTAGGTTTCACATCTATAAACCACTTTCTCCATTTAGGCACTTTGTGTTAAACTATTAGTATAAAGACAGACAAATGGATGCTTGACATCCAAGGTTGATTGTTCAACAGAACATACCAGAGAACAAAAAATAAGGAAGAGGTAGAGGCAGAGGAGTGGCAAACAGCACATGAGAAAATATGAGCAATTTAATGAAAAAACGCCTTTCAAGTTTAAACATGTTTATCTTTTACAAGTCAAAAACTTCTGTCATACTTATTAGATACACCTGAGAATAAGCAAGGAATAACAAGAGATGCACATGAAGAGGATAAGTAAATAACTGTAGTCTAACAAATCAAATTATAGGTGCCTTATTTTATCATGATTCTAGTTGCAAACCGAGTGCATTTGGCTGCTGCCACAGAAAAAGTCTGGCTAAGTTCAGTGTACAATCCTGCACATTATGCAGTTATCCATGAAATTCACTACGTCCTCAAGCTTCTATTTGCAAAACATTATGCATCAGTGATTTAAAAACATATGGCATGAATTCCACGAAAAATAATGCTAAGAGTATGAATCTCGAAAAAAGAACAACAAAGAAATGAACGTAATATTGCCAAATCAACTTACCCAACCACTTGATCCATTGCATATCTGAATTCTGTCATACTAGGAGGAATGAAATCCCTGACCAAATCATGCCTCGGTGAAGGACGGTACATGCAAGTTCCCTTGATGATGGTCAATAGACCAAGACCATCTTCCTGCATTTGATGAGTTGTTATCACCGAAGCTGTATAGAAAGTAAGTCTGTGCAACTAATATAGTTAAACTTAATACAGCAATATAACATGGCTAATGAGTTCTTGATGTCCATCACATGATGCAAAGGACTGTGATAAGGTTATGCAGAAATGGCTTTAGAAAAACCAAAAACACATCCTTTTGTATTGCCTATTGGTCCATGGACAAGTACTCAAATTAAAAAATGCTTTTTACAGCATTTGTGATTATAAGAGTCCCCGGAAGTAATACTTGAAGTTTAGAGAAGACGAAGAGTCTTATATTTTGATTAAAGAAAACTGATACACTTTACTACTGTATTTATAGAAGACAGTAGTTCTGAAAGATAAAA